GCCTCGGTGGAGCTCCCTGTGGGGCCAGGGTCACGATCCTCGAGGGGTGTGCCGAAGTGAAGCTTCGGTGGAGCTCCCTGCGGGGCCAGGGCCGCGATCCTCAAGAGGGGTGTGCCAAAATGAAGCTTCGTTGGAGCTCCCTGTTGGGCCAGGGCCACGATCCTCGAGAGGGGTGTGCTGAAATGAAGCCTCGGTGGAGCTCCGAGGGGTGTGCCGAAATGAGGGTTCGGTGGAGCTCCTTGTCTGTGCCAGGGCCACGATCCTCGAGAGGGGTGTGCCGAAATGAAGCTTCGGTGGAGCTCGCTGTGGGTGCCAGGGCCGCGATCCTCGAGAGGGGTGTGCCGAAATGGAGCCTCGGTGGAGCTCCCCGTGGGGGCCAGGTCCACGATCCTCGAGAGGGCTGTGCCGAAATGGAGCCTCGGTGGAGCTCCCTGTGGGGCCAGGGCCACGTTCCTCGAGAGGGGTGTGCTGAAATGATGGTTCGGTGGAGCTCCTTGTGGGGGCCAGGGCCACGATCACCGAGAGGGGCGTTCCGAAATGAAGCTTAGGTGGGGCTCCTTGTGGAGGCCAGGGCCACGATCCTCGAGAGGGGCGTGCCGAAATGAAGCTTCGGTGGAGCTCCCTGTGGGGCCAGGGCCACGATCCTCGAGAGGGGTGTGCCGAAATGAGGGTTCGGTGGAGTTCCTTGTGGGGGCCAGGGCCACGACTATTTTTATTCCATTGCTACCACTACCAGTCCTTTTGGTTTTACTTGTGCTGCTTGCACTACTATCTACTGCTGCCACTATTGCTACTGCTACTGCTACTGCTACTGCTACTGCTACTGCTACTGCTACTACTGCTACTACTACTACTACTACTACTACCACTACTACTACTACTACTACTACTCTACTACTACTACTACTACTACTACTACTACTACTACTACTACTACTACTACTACTACTAACTACTACTACTACTGCTATACTACGACTGCTACTACTTACTACTTACTACTTACTACTACTACTACTACTTACTACTACTACTACTACTACTACTACTACTACTACTACTACTACTACTACTACTACTACTACTACTACTACTACTACTACTACTACTACTACTACTACTACTACTACTACTACGACTACTACTACGACTACTATTTGTATTACTCCTACTGCTATCACACATATTATTAGTACTGCGACGGCGACTACAATTATTAGTCGTACCTTTATTTCTACTAATACTACGGCTACGAATGCTATGGCGACAGCTGCCACTAGTGCTACTACTGCTACTGCTAGTGTGACTACTGATGCTGCTACTTCTACTGCTACTGGTACTATTACTACCACGGGTACTACCACTACTATTATTACTACCAACAGTACTAATACCACCACCACCACTACCACTACCACCACCACCACCACTACTACGACTACTGCTACGACTACTGCTGCTACTACTACTACTACTACTACTACTACCACTACTGCTACGACTACGACTACTACTTCTACCATTACTTCGGCGACTACTACTACTACTGCTACTACTACTACTACTACTACTACTACTACTGCTACTGCGACTACTAATACTACTACTACTGCTACTACTACAACTACTACTACTACTACTACTACTACTACTACTACTACTACTACTACTATTACTACTACTACTACGGCTACTACTGCTGCTACTACTACTACTACTACTACTACTACTTCTACTACCACTACCCCACTACTACTACTATTACTACTACTACTACTACTACTACTACTACTACTGCTACTACTACTACTACTACGACTACTACTACTCTACTACTACTACTACTACTACTACTACTACTACTACTACTACTACTACTACGGCGACGACTACGACTACTAATACTAGTACTATTATTACGATTACTACTGCTACCACTACTACTACTACTACTACTACTACTACTACTACTACTCCTACTCCTACTCCTACTACTCCTACTCCTACTCCTACTCCTACTACTACTACTACTACTACTACTACTACTACTACTTTTTTTTTATATATATATATATATATATATATAAAAAAACAAAAAAAACAAAAAAAAAAAAACTATTTTTAGGATCCCATCCGGATTCCCTAGGGTCCCCAGGGTACCCTAATGATTCATCAGGGTCCTCGGAGGTCTCATTAGGGTTGGCTAAGGGATCCCTAGGGTCCTCTAAGGATTCACTCAAGTTCCCTGAGGATCCATCAGGGGTCCCACAGGATCCATCAGGGTTCCTTCAGGATGCATTCGGGTTCTCTAAGGATTCACCAGGGTTGTCTAAGGAATCCCAAGGGCCCCCTAAGGATTCACTAAGGTTCCCGAAGGAATCATCATGGCCCCTTCAGGATTCATTTGGGTTCCATAAGGATTCCCTAAGGTTCCCTAAGGATGCCTTAGGATTGCCTAAGGATTCCCTAGGGTTCCGCAAGGATCCCTAGGGTTCCCTAA